ATTAACTAATAAAAGGTAAGTTGGAGGTAAGTAAAGTTGCTATTTTTTCCAGGATTTTAATTTTGATTGAGCAGAAGGTGAGCCAGTGAAACCGGGCATCTGAATTCATTCAAATTATTGGCTTGAATTTGACCATGGTACAGCGGGCGTTGAAGAGTCTGCACCTAGGCGGAGCACTCCTTGCAATTGTTGTTGCAATATCAGCACCGAGCCCATCAGACCGTCTAACTGCTCTTGCTGCTTGTTGGCCATTTGAAGCAGTATATCTTTTTTGCGGATCGTTAGAGGAGCGTTTGGTAAAGTTGCTGTTGTTGTGGTGATGGTAGTAGCTGTCGCTGCTCAACGTCAACTTGCATTGGCGCGGATTGTTGTTGTGTGACGGGTTGATTGGCGGGGGTGGCTTGTTGCCGGATGGACCAATTTTCTAGCATCTGACGCTGCCTTGAGATGATCTGTTCTCTGGTTTGAACAGAGTCAGGTCTCTCAAGTTGGCGTTGCTGCTGTTGTTGTTGTTGTTGTAAACTTTGGGTCCGCGCCCATCTAGAGCGTGGATCCAAAGAGTTGGATGAGGAGACGGTGGGGGGATTGGGATTATTGGCATTGTTTGCCGCATTGATATTGTTGGTTGTGTTGGTGTGACAGATTTTCGAGGAACTCCAGCTGGAGTGCTAATTTGTAATTTTTGATTATGCATTGGCTGCGTTTCTATCTGTCCACCATTTTGTTTTGATTTCTTGTTATTTTTGTTGTTGATTAGCTTAGGCTTTGGCTGCTGGCGCTGCAGCTGAGCTTGTTTTTGTTTTTGCTGTTGCTGCTGCTGTTGCAGTTGCAGTTGAGCAGGTTGCTGGCGCTGAGGCTGCTTTTGCCGCCGCTGTAATTTCGGCTGAGGCTGCCGAACATTCGGACTGATATTTTTGCTGTTTGGCAGGGACAACAGTTTTGCTTGTAGCAGATCCAGATACAAGGGGCAGCCCTTGTAATTGGCTGTATGGTCCGAGCCGCAGTTTGCACAAGTAGCTGGCATATTTGCCGGTTTGGCGCAAGTTTGTGTGAGATGCTCGTTGCCGCACTTTACACAGCGAGCACGATGATGGCAATATCGGGTCGTGTGGTTGAAACGCTGACATCGGTGGCACTGTGGCAATTTCTTGCCATCTATTTTAGGCCACTCGAAGCGGACGACATATTTGCAAAGATTTCTGACTTCGAATATAGATCGATTCTTTGCGGAATCGGGAGCCAATTCCACAAAGAATATATTCGGTTGATATGTACCAGGGCCGCTGCGATTCTTATATTTTGGGCAATATACGTTGCGAATCGTATAGCCCATGCACGTCAACTCGTTTCGGATTGCGTCGGTGCTTGTGGAGGCGTGAATGCCCCGCACCACAACCGGAAAGAGCGCTCCTCACGCCTCTGGTACGTGTTATAATTGATTGAATTGTCCATATTGAGGACGTTTATGATTTTAGAGTATCTCTAAGGTTTTCGGCAGGATTCTTAATATGCCAGGACTACCCAATTTTAATCCATTTGTTTACCGTTCGACACAAGGGAACAAACGCAATGTCGGTCTGGATTCCAGAGCCCAGCTCCATGCCTGGTTGACAGACAGAGAAGTGGGGACTGGGATCCAGACTGTTTTTTTTTTTTATTCATTTAATACCTAGAGTACTTACAATGAATTAAGTGACATGTTATATACAATTCAAGTGAAGTTTCCCAGCCTTGGCATGGGGATTGCTGTCAAATTAATTATTTGAGGATTGGGAAAATCCCCAATTGTCTGGAAGCTACCCAGTCTGATAGTCGTTGCATCTGGATGAGCTGGAGCCGCCAGCGTGACCACCGTTGATCCTGCCGCCAGATGCCATTGGTGTGGGTGCTTGAGAGACGTAGCATCAAGGCCTTTTTCCATTGTATGGGATGTCGCAGTCTGAATTTCTGTAAGTAGGCAACCCTTTGGCAACGAGTTGTATGAAGCCATCTGATTGGTTCGTTAGCGTAACGCAGTCTTTGCTTTATCTGCCTTTCAGCCAGTCGCAATTGGATGAGTTGCCGTGTCCTGCAAGTAGTCCTAGTCTTAGGCCCTCGCTGTGGTACAAGTACATAGAGGTTGGCTGCCATCATGAACAGTGTAGCAAGTGTGCACATGGTGTTGCACACTGCTTCTTGATCCGCACTGGTGGCCACGTCCCGCTGCGTCTGTGGATTTGGATGCGAGCTTGGTGTCTCTGAACTGGGAGGAATGAGAGCTCCTGGCCTTGTAGTGGTAGCGAGAGTTGAGCACAGCTGTATATGAGACGGGCTGTTTCGTCTATCCTGAAGGTAGTTGGGCTGCACCACTGTTTGACTTAGCAGTTCTTGTATGTCAAATACAAGGTAGTCTCTGAGACTAGGTGGTCGTGGGAGCGGACGTAGCTGCCCATGAGAAGGTAGCTGGACCTGCTGTGACCGCTGCTGCTGTGCTAGGCGACCCAGAGGTAGGTGCTTCCGAAGCATTTCAGCGTATCTTCTTCTGACACCTAGGTGACGTTGTGGGAGTCTTGCTTTAAGGGCAATATTTTTGGCTTCATCGTTGCTGTGGTTGCTGAGCCGAGCCCAGTACCTGGAGCAAGCATCCTGATACATTTTTTCCACCGGCACGACCTTCAGATCAGTGTGGATGCTTTGGTTTCGCACGTACCAAGGTGCTCCAGCAATGGTCCGCAATATCTTGTTTTGCGCAACTTGAATCCGTTCAAATTGGCCTTCGCATAGAAGTGATCCCCAGACCGGAAGTGCGAACTGCCATATTGGGGCTATGAGCTGCTTGTAGAGTGATACCTTGCATTTTAATGGTAGCTTGCTCCTTTCTGATATTAGCCAGTGCAGCTTTTTGGCCCTGTCTCTAACCCTGGCGACAATGGTGGTGACATGGCTGCTCAAAAGAAGCTTTTTATCGACTTGCACTCCCAGGTATGAAATCCTTTCTTCTGTGGTGAGCCGTTGATCCAAAATTCTTGGGGAAAGAATTGGCATCTGCAAGCTTCTCCAAGTGTGCATTATGTGCTTGGTTTTGGCAATGTTGATGCTAATGCTCCACTTTTGTGCCCATGTTGTAATGGTGGCAAGGAACAGATCCAAATTGGCAATGGCATCTTCTTGCAAGTTTGCCGATGACAAGATGGCCGTGTCATCGGCATAAGTTGCCAGCATCAGTTTGCCGTGTCGTAGCGGTGCAGGTAGGGGCATGTCGGATGTGTATAGGGTGTACAGTACAGGCCCTAAAACACTACCCTGCGGAACGCCGGCGCAGATTTCTTTTAGGCTGGAACGCGTACCTCCACAGCAGTCCACAATGAATGTGCGTTCGCTTAGATAGCTATTCATAACTCGGTAGAGGACTTCCGGCAATAGCTGTTTGAGCTTGAATCGCAGTCCGTCATGCCAGACACGATCAAACGCCTCCTGTATGTCCATATAGACCGCAGAGCAGTATTTATTGTCCTCGTACGCTTCTAGTATAAACTGCGTAACTCGACCCAATTGTTGTTCAGCAGCATGCTCACGTCTGAAACCGAATTGGTGGCTCGGAATTGCATTGATGATGTTGTCCAATTGGAACATCCGGCGCAGCAGCAGTCGCTCAAAGATTTTTGAAAAGCCAGCGAGTAAGCTTATTGGCCTGTATGATCCAAGCTGATCAGAGGGCTTGCCTGGCTTTTGGATCATTGTTATTTTGGCACATTTCCACTTGCAAGGAAAGTGTCCAAAGCGTAGGATACCGTTAAAAATAAGCACTAGGTACAGTACAGCTGACTGTGGCAGTTCCTTGATCGTGCGATTATCGATTCGGTCAATCCCCGGAGACTTTTTTGTTTGCAGCGTTTTGATTATAGCTTGTACTTCCCCTAGCGTGACTGGAGGGAAGCAGAGTTCACCTTGGGCCACAGGTAGCGATACTTGCATCTCGACATGGCTCTTGTCAGAGGGCAGCGTGGTGATCATTGGCCTAAACCTTTGTTCAAGGTGCTGCGCAAAGGCTTCAGCTTTTTCTTCGGTGGTCTTGCACCACTGGGAAGCCCCAGCTCCCTCAGTGTGCTTCCTCACTGGTAAATTAGGTGCGGGCTGCCTTTTGATGTTCCCCGTTAGCCGCCATAACTTTTGCATACTGTATCTATCCCTTGCATCGATAGATTCCAGCAACTCATCAAGTCTTCTCGCCTTGGCCTGCTTGATTTCCCGGCTAATGTTGTTGGCTAATCTGTTGTGTGCTTGCCTAGCAGCCGGGTTGTGGTATGCCTGTATGTGGCGTTTAATCAGCCTCTTGGCCTCAATCATTTGTTGAATGCGCCTGTTGATTGTGTAGTTATATTTTGGTTGCCCTCGGTAAGGCTGGTGAGTTAGGTTTGTTGCAAATTTCGCTGCAGAGTGGATATTATTTTCCAGTATGTCTACCGCATCGTCAATATCTTCGCCACAGTGAAGCTCAGTGTTCAAATTGATGTGCATGTTTAGCCACAATTGAAATTTGGGTATGCTCGCATTTGCTGGAAGAAGATGACACTTGGGTTCGCCTTCTGCTGGCTTACTCAGTAGTTCAATCAGCAGCGGCAGGTGATCCGATCCTAAGTCATTGGATGTGCTTATTTTTAGCAGACCATACTGCACACCTTTATATACTGCGAAGTCAATGGCTGTCGGGGACTGCCGCGCATTATTTGGAAAGCGCGTTGACGAGCCAGTTGCCAGAATGTCAAGGTTTTGCTGCTGCACACTTTCAAGGAGTAGATTACCCCTGCGGTTTGATCTGCTGTTGCCCCACCAATAACTTCTGGCATTCCAGTCACCAGCAGCAATAAATTTAGCACCAAGCTGTCTAAATACGTAGTTGAAGTCTTGAACCAGCCAATGTTCCCGCGGGGGGCAGTATATGGCCGCAACATTAATGACTGAGCCATTTAGCAGTGTAATTGCAACTGGCGCACACTGAATTTTTTCCAGGGTTGTCGGCATGAGCGCTATGTGTTGGATTGTGCGCTTTACTAGGATGGCTGCACCTCCACGGCGGTTGTTAGATGGGTGGTTTGCCAGGTAAGTGTGGTATCCCCTTATATCAATAGTTTCTGCATCCCGTAGGTAGCTTTCAGCTATTAACATTACGTCGATTTCGTTTTGCAGCATAAATAACTCCATCTCTTCCAGTTTATTGTGTAGTCCTGCTGCATTCCAGGCTACAATTTTAAGGGCGTTGGTGTTGAGTCTGGCATATATGTTATGCCCATTTCTCTCTGAGGAGGAAGTGATGGAGTTAGCGTCGTGGCTAGACATTTTGGTTACCATTGACGCGCTCCATGGTAGACATGAGAGTGCTTACGGTAGCCATCATACTCGTCATTAGATCAACTAATCTGTCAATTTTACTTTCCAGGTTGCTGTTATTGGCAGGGGCAATTGGGCTCCTTTGTTGTTCAACCATTATGTTGATCAGCTGATCAAGTTTTCGGCTGAGGTCATCTCGCGGGTATGCAGTTCGCGGTGAGCTGCGGCTGCGGCTCCTGTGTTGCTGGCGCGCTTCTGCAGGATGTGCTATCACTTGCCGAGTTTCTCGCTCCTGATAATGCACATGCTGGTGGCGCTGAGGCGGCTGATTGTTGTGCTGCAATCTCGAATCATGTTGAGGCTGCTGTCGAGTTGTTTGGCGCTGTGCGGTCTGCTTCTGCACTCGGGAGCGCTCATCTGGCAGGCCAGCTTTAAGGGCGGCTGCATAGCTGCTTGCAGCTTGAGGCATTGGCTGCTGGTGTTGCACTTGCTGACGGAATGAGTTGTGCTGCGGCTGCTTCTGCTGCTCAGAGGGCCGCTGTGGTTGCTGCTGTTGTGCCTGCTGGCCCTGAACAACTGGAGGCCGAAGCGGTTGCTGCTTTGGTCGTCCCTGTTGCCTACCAGAGCTAATTGGAATGGTGGGTTCTCCAAGCTGAAATAGCAATCTATTGGCTCTTTGTAGAACGGCAGGTTCCCTCTTTTTAGCATTGTTTTTGAAGAAGATGCAGCCCCTGTAACTAGCAGCATGTGGGCCCTTACAATTAGCACATTTCGCTTCTGCACTAGGCGCCTTTTCACAGAGTGTTGATGGGTGCTCTTGTTTTTTTTTTTTTTTTTTTTTGTAGTATGTACTGGTCTATTACTCAGTACATACGGCTGGTGGCCCAGATCCGTGTAATGGCTGGATCTGGACAAGTTTACCGCACTGCGCCGCTTAGCGGACCACGCGGAATCGGTCGTTTTCTTGGGAGGCAATTGTTGGTATTGCAGATTATGGCTAGGTATAGCTCTTGTTTTTGGCGCTTAGGTGTTGCTCAGGTTGGAGCTTGTTGTGCTGGGTGAAGCACGAATTGTTTTTATTGGTGGTTGGTCAATACGCTATTGTGGCTTTGGTGGCTAGCCTTGGAAGTGTAGAGCATATTGAGGTTGTTTTTGTTTACCGTTCGACACAAGGGAACAAACGCAATGTCGGTCTGGATTCCAGAGCCCAGCTCCATGCCTGGTTGACAGACAGAGAAGTGGGGACTGGGATCCAGACTGTTTTTTTTTTTTTATTCATTTAATACCTAGAGTACTTACAATGAATTAAGTGACATGTTATATACAATTCAAGTGAAGTTTCCCAGCCTTGGCATGGGGATTGCTGTCAAATTAATTATTTGAGGATTGGGAAAATCCCCAATTGTCTGGAAGCTACCCAGTCTGATAGCCGTTGCATCTGGATGAGCTGGAGCCGCCAGCGTGACCACCGTTGATCCTGCCGCCAGATGCCATTGGTGTGGGTGCTTGAGAGACGTAGCATCAAGGCCTTTTTCCATTGTATGGGATGTCGCAGTCTGAATTTCTGTAAGTAGGCAACCCTTTGGCAACGAGTTGTATGAAGCCATCTGATTGGTTCGTTAGCGTAACGCAATCTTTGCTTTATCTGCCTTTCAGCCAGTCGCAATTGGATGAGTTGCCGTGTCCTGCAAGTAGTCCTAGTCTTAGGCCCTCGCTGTGGTACAAGTACATAGAGGTTGGCTGCCATCATGAACAGTGTAGCAAGTGTGCACATGGTGTTGCACACTGCTTCTTGATCCGCACTGGTGGCCACGTCCCGCTGCGTCTGTGGATTTGGATGCGAGCTTGGTGTCTCTGGACTGGGAGGAATGAGAGCTCCTGGCCTTGTAGTGGTAGCGAGAGTTGAGCACAGCTGTATATGAGACGGGCTGTTTCGTCTATCCTGGAGGTAGTTGGGCTGCACCACTGTTTGACTTAGCAGTTCTTGTATGTCAAATACAAGGTAGTCTCTGAGACTGGGTGGTCGTGGGAGCGGACGTGGCTGCCCATGAGAAGGTAGCTGGCCCTGCTGTGACCGCTGCTGCTGTGCTAGGCGACCCAGAGGTAGGTGCTTCCGAAGCATTTCAGCGTATCTTCTTCTGACACCTAGGTGACGTTGTGGGAGTCTTGCTTTAAGGGCAATATTTTTGGCTTCATCGTTGCTGTGGTTGCTGAGCCGAGCCCAGTACCTGGAGCAAGCATCCTGATACATTTTTTCCACCGGCACGACCTTCAGATCAGTGTGGATGCTTTGGTTTCGCACGTACCAAGGTGCTCCAGCAATGGTTCGCAATATCTTGTTTTGCGCAACTTGAATCCGTTCAAATTGGCCTTCGCATAGAAGTGATCCCCAGACCGGAAGTGCGAACTGCCATATTGGGGCTATGAGCTGCTTGTAGAGTGATACTTTGCATTTTAATGGTAGCTTGCTCCTTTCTGATATTAGCCAGTGCAGCTTTTTGGCCCTGTCTCTAACCCTGGCGACAATGGTGGTGACGTGGCTGCTCAAAAGAAGCTTTTTATCGACTTGCACTCCCAGGTATGAAATCCTTTCTTCTGTGGTGAGCCGTTGATCCAAAATTCTTGGGGAAAGAATTGGCATCTGCAAGCTTCTCCAAGTGTGCATTATGTGCTTGGTTTTGGTAATGTTGATGCTAATGCTCCACTTTTGTGTCCATGTTGTAATGGTGGCAAGGAACAGATCCAAATTGGCAATGGCATCTTCTTGCAAGTTTGCCGATGACAAGATGGCCGTGTCATCGGCATAAGTTGCCAGCATCAGTTTGCCGTGTCGTAGCGGTGCAGGTAGGGGCATGTCGGATGTGTATAGGGTGTACAGTACAGGCCCTAAAACACTACCCTGCGGAACGCCGGCGCAGATTTCTTTTAGGCTGGAATGCGTACCTCCACAGCAGTCCACAATGAATGTGCGTTCGCTTAGATAGCTATTCATAACTCGGTAGAGGACTTCCGGCAATAGCTGTTTGAGCTTGAATCGCAGTCCGTCATGCCAGACACGATCAAACGCCTCCTGTATGTCCATATAGACCGCAGAGCAGTATTTATTGTCCTCGTACGCTTCTAGTATAAACTGCGTAACTCGACCCAATTGTTGTTCAGCAGCATGCTCACGTCTGAAACCGAATTGGTGGCTCGGAATTGCATTGATGATGTTGTCCAATTGGAACATCCGGCGCAGCAGCAGTCGCTCAAAGATTTTTGAAAAGCCAGCGAGCAAGCTTATTGGCCTGTATGATCCAAGCTGATCAGAGGGCTTGCCTGGCTTTTGGATCATTGTTATTTTGGCACATTTCCACTTGCAAGGAAAGTGTCCAAAGCGTAGGATACCGTTAAAAATAAGCACTAGGTACAGTACAGCTGACTGTGGCAGTTCCTTGATCGTGCGATTATCGATTCGGTCAATCCCCGGAGACTTTTTTGTTTGCAGCATTTTGATTATAGCTTGTACTTCCCCTAGCGTGACTGGAGGGAAGCAGAGTTCACCTTGGGCCACAGGTAGCGATACTTGCATCTCGACATGGCTCTTGTCAGAGGGCAGCGTGGTGATCATTGGCCTAAACCTTTGTTCAAGGTGCTGCGCAAAGGCTTCGGCTTTTTCTTCGGTGGTCTTGCACCACTGGGAAGTCCCAGCTCCCTCAGTGTGCTTCCTCACTGGTAAATTAGGTGCGGGCTGCCTTTTGATGTTCCCCGTTAGCCGCCATAACTTTTGCATACTGTATCTATCCCTTGCATCGATAGATTCCAGCAACTCATCAAGTCTTCTCGCCTTGGCATGCTTGATTTCCCGGCTAATGTTGTTGGCTAATCTGTTGTGTGCTTGCCTAGCAGCCGGGTTGTGGTATGCCTGTATGTGGCGTTTAATCAGCCTCTTGGCCTCAATCATTTGTTGAATGCGCCTGTTGATTGTGTAGTTATATTTTGGTTGCCCTCGGTAAGGCTGGTGAGTTAGGTTTGTTGCAAATTTCGCTGCAGAGTGGATATTATTTTCCAGTATGTCTACCGCATCGTCAATATCTTCGCCACAGTGAAGCTCAGTGTTCAAATTGATGTGCATGTTTAGCCACAATTGAAATTTGGGTATGCTCGCATTTGCTGGAAGAAGATGACACTTGGGTTCGCCTTCTGCTGGCTTACTCAGTAGTTCAATCAGCAGCGGCAGGTGATCCGATCCTAAGTCATTGGATGTGCTTATTTTTAGCAGACCATACTGCACACCTTTATATACTGCGAAGTCAATGGCTGTCGGGGACTGCCGCGCATTATTTGGAAAGCGCGTTGACGAGCCAGTTGCCAGAATGTCAAGGTTTTGCTGCTGCACACTTTCAAGGAGTATATTACCCCTGCGATTTGATCTGCTGTTGCCCCACCAATAACTTCTGGCATTCCAGTCACCAGCAGCAATAAATTTAGCACCAAGCTGTCTAAATACGTAGTTGAAGTCTTGAACCAGCCAATGTTCCCGCGGGGGGCAGTATATGGCCGCAACATTAATGACTGAGCCATTTAGCAGTGTAATTGCAACTGGCGCACACTGAATTTTCTCCAGGGTTGTCGGCATGAGCGCTATGTGTTGGATTGTGCGCTTTACTAGGATGGCTGCACCTCCACGGCGGTTGTTAGATGGGTGGTTTGCCAGGTAAGTGTGGTATCCCCTTATATCAATAGTTTCTGCATCCCGTAGGTAGCTTTCAGCTATTAACATTATGTCGATTTCGTTTTGCAGCATAAATAACTCCATCTCTTCCAGTTTATTGTGTAGTCCTGCTGCATTCCAGGCTACAATTTTAAGGGCGTTGGTGTTGAGTCTGGCATATATGTTATGCCCATTTCTCTCTGAGGAGGAAGTGATGGAGTTGGCGTCGTGGCTAGACATTTTGGTTACCATTGACGCGCTCCATGGTAGACATGAGAGTGCTTACGGTAGCCATCATACTCGTCATTAGATCAACTAATCTGTCAATTTTACTTTCCAGGTTGCTGTTATTGGCAGGGGCAATTGCGCTCCTTTGTTGTTCAACCATTATGTTGATCAGCTGATCAAGTTTTCGGCTGAGGTCATCTCGCGGGTATGCAGTTCGCGGTGAGCTGCGGCTGCGGCTCCTGTGTTGCTGGCGCGCTTCTGCAGGATGTGCTATCACTTGCCGAGTTTCTCGCTCCTGATAATGCTGGTGGCGCTGAGGCGGCTGATTGTTGTGCTGCAATCTCGAATCATGTTGAGGCTGCTGTCGAGTTGTTTGGCGCTGTGCGGTCTGCTTCTGCTTTCGGGAGCGCTCATCTGGCAGGCCAGTTTTAAGGGCGGCTGCATAGCTGCTTGCAGCTTGAGGCATTGGCTGCTGGTGTTGCACTTGCTGACGGAATGGGTTGTGCTGCGGCTGCTTCTGCTGCTCAGAGGGCCGCTGTGGTTGCTGCTGTTGTGCCTGCTGGCCCTGAACAACTGGAGGCCGAAGCGGTTGCTGCTTTGGTCGTCCCTGTTGCCTACCAGAGCTAATTGGAATGGTGGGTTCTCCAAGCTGAAATAGCAATCTATTGGCTCTTTGTAGAACGGCAGGTTCCCTCTTTTTAGCATTGTTTTTGAAGAAGATGCAGCCCCTGTAACTAGCAGCATGTGGGCCCTTACAATTAGCACATTTCGCTTCTGCACTAGGCGCCTTTTCACAGAGTGTTGATGGGTGCTCTTGTCCGCACTTTACGCATCTAAATATGCGGCGACAGTAATTTTTTGTGTGTCCAATCTGTTGGCAACGGTGGCACTGCACAACATCCGTATTTCTTATTGGCTTTTCGACTTTGACTCGCTGGCCTCCCAGGACTGTTAAGTCGAAAATTTCGTTATTGTTCTTTTTAGGCTCAAGCTCAACTTGAAAGAGATCAAGAGGCTCGCCAGAGAAACGCTTCTTGATAACATTTACAAATCGAACGTTGTGTCCCTTGTCACTAAGCTTCTGCTTGATCCAGTCATTAGGAGTAGCTCGGTGAAGGTGTCTAATTACTACTCTGAAGCCACGGTCACTGCTCAGTTGGTAAGTATGGGACTCAACACTACATTCTTCAAAGAATCTTACTAGTGCGCGGTATGAGCTAATGTCGTTGCACTGAATACGAAGTCCGCGATCCGAAGTCGGTTTGGTGTGGTAGTTACCCTCTCCAATTAAGTCATCAATGTCCTTTAGGAATGGGACAATATTACCGTTAAGTCCAGGCACGTAGAGCGGTTCAGGCCTGATCTTAACATTGCTGGCAACGTCTGGAACATTGGGTTCTGCGTTAGAGTTATTGGTAGGCATAAGTGGGGGTATATGTTGTGGTCCCTCAGGCCTGGCATTCATATTGATAGTAGCGATGTCCTCAGCATCTGTTTCAGGATTTGGGTTTATAATCGGCTGAGGGGTAACGTCCATTGCTTCAACGTCCACATCTTCATCTTCCAAGGACACAGTTTCAACATTTTCATCTTCATTGGCTTTTTTCTTCTGTGTCCTAGGGCTTTCACCACCAGTGACACGACGTTTTCGCTGCACTTTTTGACAAGTCTCCTTTGTTTGTTTACCGTTCGACACAAGGGAACAAACGCAATGTCGGTCTGGATTCCAGAGCCCAGCTCCATGCCTGGTTGACAGACAGAGAAGTGGGGACTGGGATCCAGACTGTTTTTTTTTTTATTCATTTAATACCTAGAGTACTTACAATGAATTAAGTGACATGTTATATACAATTCAAGTGAAGTTTCCCAGCCTTGGCATGGGGATTGCTGTCAAATTAATTATTTGAGGATTGGGAAAATCCCCAATTGTCTGGAAGCTACCCAGTCTGATAGCCGTTGCATCTGGATGAGCTGGAGCCGCCAGCGTGACCACCGTTGATCCTGCCGCCAGATGCCATTGGTGTGGGTGCTTGAGAGACGTAGCATCAAGGCCTTTTTCCATTGTATGGGATGTCGCAGTCTGAATTTCTGTAAGTAGGCAACCCTTTGGCAACGAGTTGTATGAAGCCATCTGATTGGTTCGTTAGCGTAACGCAATCTTTGCTTTATCTGCCTTTCAGCCAGTCGCAATTGGATGAGTTGCCGTGTCCTGCAAGTAGTCCTAGTCTTAGGCCCTCGCTGTGGTACAAGTACATAGAGGTTGGCTGCCATCATGAACAGTGTAGCAAGTGTGCACATGGTGTTGCACACTGCTTCTTGATCCGCACTGGTGGCCACGTCCCGCTGCGTCTGTGGATTTGGATGCGAGCTTGGTGTCTCTGGACTGGGAGGAATGAGAGCTCCTGGCCTTGTAGTGGTAGCGAGAGTTGAGCACAGCTGTATATGAGACGGGCTGTTTCGTCTATCCTGGAGGTAGTTGGGCTGCACCACTGTTTGACTTAGCAGTTCTTGTATGTCAAATACAAGGTAGTCTCTGAGACTGGGTGGTCGTGGGAGCGGACGTGGCTGCCCATGAGAAGGTAGCTGGCCCTGCTGTGACCGCTGCTGCTGTGCTAGGCGACCCAGAGGTAGGTGCTTCCGAAGCATTTCAGCGTATCTTCTTCTGACACCTAGGTGACGTTGTGGGAGTCTTGCTTTAAGGGCAATATTTTTGGCTTCATCGTTGCTGTGGTTGCTGAGCCGAGCCCAGTACCTGGAGCAAGCATCCTGATACATTTTTTCCACCGGCACGACCTTCAGATCAGTGTGGATGCTTTGGTTTCGCACGTACCAAGGTGCTCCAGCAATGGTTCGCAATATCTTGTTTTGCGCAACTTGAATCCGTTCAAATTGGCCTTCGCATAGAAGTGATCCCCAGACCGGAAGTGCGAACTGCCATATTGGGGCTATGAGCTGCTTGTAGAGTGATACTTTGCATTTTAATGGTAGCTTGCTCCTTTCTGATATTAGCCAGTGCAGCTTTTTGGCCCTGTCTCTAACCCTGGCGACAATGGTGGTGACGTGGCTGCTCAAAAGAAGCTTTTTATCGACTTGCACTCCCAGGTATGAAATCCTTTCTTCTGTGGTGAGCCGTTGATCCAAAATTCTTGGGGAAAGAATTGGCATCTGCAAGCTTCTCCAAGTGTGCATTATGTGCTTGGTTTTGGTAATGTTGATGCTAATGCTCCACTTTTGTGTCCATGTTGTAATGGTGGCAAGGAACAGATCCAAATTGGCAATGGCATCTTCTTGCAAGTTTGCCGATGACAAGATGGCCGTGTCATCGGCATAAGTTGCCAGCATCAGTTTGCCGTGTCGTAGCGGTGCAGGTAGGGGCATGTCGGATGTGTATAGGGTGTACAGTACAGGCCCTAAAACACTACCCTGCGGAACGCCGGCGCAGATTTCTTTTAGGCTGGAATGCGTACCTCCACAGCAGTCCACAATGAATGTGCGTTCGCTTAGATAGCTATTCATAACTCGGTAGAGGACTTCCGGCAATAGCTGTTTGAGCTTGAATCGCAGTCCGTCATGCCAGACACGATCAAACGCCTCCTGTATGTCCATATAGACCGCAGAGCAGTATTTATTGTCCTCGTACGCTTCTAGTATAAACTGCGTAACTCGACCCAATTGTTGTTCAGCAGCATGCTCACGTCTGAAACCGAATTGGTGGCTCGGAATTGCATTGATGATGTTGTCCAATTGGAACATCCGGCGCAGCAGCAGTCGCTCAAAGATTTTTGAAAAGCCAGCGAGCAAGCTTATTGGCCTGTATGATCCAAGCTGATCAGAGGGCTTGCCTGGCTTTTGGATCATTGTTATTTTGGCACATTTCCACTTGCAAGGAAAGTGTCCAAAGCGTAGGATACCGTTAAAAATAAGCACTAGGTTTTTGTTTACCGTTCGACACAAGGGAACAAACGCAATGTCGGTCTGGATTCCAGAGCCCAGCTCCATGCCTGGTTGACAGACAGAGAAGTGGGGACTGGGATCCAGACTGTTTTTTTTTTTTATTCATTTAATACCTAGAGTACTTACAATGAATTAAGTGACATGTTATATACAATTCAAGTGAAGTTTCCCAGCCTTGGCATGGGGATTGCTGTCAAATTAATTATTTGAGGATTGGGAAAATCCCCAATTGTCTGGAAGCTACCCAGTCTGATAGCCGTTGCATCTGGATGAGCTGGAGCCGCCAGCGTGACCACCGTTGATCCTGCCGCCAGATGCCATTGGTGTGGGTGCTTGAGAGACGTAGCATCAAGGCCTTTTTCCATTGTATGGGATGTCGCAGTCTGAATTTCTGTAAGTAGGCAACCCTTTGGCAACGAGTTGTATGAAGCCATCTGATTGGTTCGTTAGCGTAACGCAATCTTTGCTTTATCTGCCTTTCAGCCAGTCGCAATTGGATGAGTTGCCGTGTCCTGCAAGTAGTCCTAGTCTTAGGCCCTCGCTGTGGTACAAGTACATAGAGGTTGGCTGCCATCATGAACAGTGTAGCAAGTGTGCACATGGTGTTGCACACTGCTTCTTGATCCGCACTGGTGGCCACGTCCCGCTGCGTCTGTGGATTTGGATGCGAGCTTGGTGTCTCTGGACTGGGAGGAATGAGAGCTCCTGGCCTTGTAGTGGTAGCGAGAGTTGAGCACAGCTGTATATGAGACGGGCTGTTTCGTCTATCCTGGAGGTAGTTGGGCTGCACCACTGTTTGACTTAGCAGTTCTTGTATGTCAAATACAAGGTAGTCTCTGAGACTGGGTGGTCGTGGGAGCGGACGTGGCTGCCCATGAGAAGGTAGCTGGCCCTGCTGTGACCGCTGCTGCTGTGCTAGGCGACCCAGAGGTAGGTGCTTCCGAAGCATTTCAGCGTATCTTCTTCTGACACCTAGGTGACGTTGTGGGAGTCTTGCTTTAAGGGCAATATTTTTGGCTTCATCGTTGCTGTGGTTGCTGAGCCGAGCCCAGTACCTGGAGCAAGCATCCTGATACATTTTGTTTACCGTTCGACACAAGGGAACAAACGCAATGTCGGTCTGGATTCCAGAGCCCAGCTCCATGCCTGGTTGACAGACAGAGAAGTGGGGACTGGGATCCAGACTGTTTTTTTTTTTTATTCATTTAATACCTAGAGTACTTACAATGAATTAAGTGACATGTTATATACAATTCAAGTGAAGTTTCCCAGCCTTGGCATGGGGATTGCTGTCAAATTAATTATTTGAGGATTGGGAAAATCCCCAATTGTCTGGAAGCTACCCAGTCTGATAGCCGTTGCATCTGGATGAGCTGGAGCCGCCAGCGTGACCACCGTTGATCCTGCCGCCAGATGCCATTGGTGTGGGTGCTTGAGAGACGTAGCATCAAGGCCTTTTTCCATTGTATGGGATGTCGCAGTCTGAATTTCTGTAAGTAGGCAACCCTTTGGCAACGAGTTGTATGAAGCCATCTGATTGGTTCGTTAGCGTAACGCAATCTTTGCTTTATCTGCCTTTCAGCCAGTCGCAATTGGATGAGTTGCCGTGTCCTGCAAGTAGTCCTAGTCTTAGGCCCTCGCTGTGGTACAAGTACATAGAGGTTGGCTGCCATCATGAACAGTGTAGCAAGTGTGCACATGGTGTTGCACACTGCTTCTTGATCCGCACTGGTGGCCACGTCCCGCTGCGTCTGTGGATTTGGATGCGAGCTTGGTGTCTCTGGACTGGGAGGAATGAGAGCTCCTGGCCTTGTAGTGGTAGCGAGAGTTGAGCACAGCTGTATATGAGACGGGC